AGAGGGAGAGGGAGAGGGAGGAGAGGGAGAGGGAGAGGGAGAGGGAGAGGGAGAGGGAGAGGGAGAGGGAGAGAGAGATTTAGCCTTCCAACTCAGTAAGCTAGGAAAGCAAGCTGGACATGGCAGTTGTGGTAGGTACCTGTAAAAATGGAAGCACATCAGGGCTAAAGCAGGAGGAATCCCAAGTTCAAGAACAGCTCAGGCTATATGGTGAATGAAAAGAAAAAGGACAGACAGAAACAGAGAGAAAAACCAGAAGCTAAGAAAAAGAAGTGAGAAAGAGTGAGCGAGAACAGTGACTACACAGTCCCATACTTCCAAAGAGAGAAAGAGATAGACACCTGTCAGACCGATTCTAAAGCTCAGCAGGTCAGCAGCACAGAGGGAAAACAGGACGAGGTCTCTCTCATATGACCACTATGAGCACGGTCATAAAATGGCTGTGATAGTCCAGACTAATCCTCAGTCAGAGCGCTGACACAAAAGGATTCAAAAATGAGCTGGAGACCAACCTGTACTGACCTTGTCTCACACAAAACACAAAAGTAAAAACCTTAAGTTATGAATAATCAATACAGAAATATAACAAAATATGGTATCTCAACTAAATTTTTTCTCCAGAAATGCAAATGTGATTTAATGTTTAAGTTTTCAAATTCAATGCATATACCTCAATAACAAAACATGAATATACTGAATATACTAAGTTTGCCCGTTAAGAAGGGTCTAATGTAGCCCAGGCTGGCCTTGTACTATGAGGCTGAAGATGACCTTGAACTCAATCATGCCACCTCCACTTCCTTAGCACTGCAATACAGACATGTCATCATGCCCAGCGCACTATGGCTTTCTTGGTAGCTCTTTCATATGAGTGTTCTGTCTACATGTATGTCTGTGTACCATGTATGTGCCTAGTGCCTGCAGAGGGCATCAGATGTCCTGGAACTGTATTTACAGAAGGTTGTGAGCTGCCATGTGGGTACTGGGAATGGAACCCAGATTCTCTGGAAGAGCAGCCAGAGCTCTTAACCACTGAACCAGCTCTCCAGCCATACCTTATTATTTTAAAGAAGGAAAATACATGTATACACAAACATGTATTTGTATATAATTTATACAGAGAGAAAGAGCCATCTGCATCTATGGGTTACATATCTGTGGCTTCAAACAACCCTGGATCAAAAATATCTGAGGAAAAGCACGCCTGTACAGCACAGACTATCGGGCATCATTCCCTTCAAGTGACAGCACTGCACTGCACTAGCCATGGGTTACCTAGGTTACCTAAATGGTAGGAGAGGATGTTCACAGGCTAGTTACATGCAAGACCTTTAACCTACAAGGAATCTGAAACATCCCCACAGACATCAGAGAGGATACAGCAAAAGAACGATGCTTCACTTCTAAGCATCAGAGATTTTTCACTATTTCAACAGTTTGTAGTTCTAGACTCAACCATGGAAATTATCAATTTTTGGAAGAGAATCCATGCTACTGGTAAAGCTGTCATATTTACCTAAAGCCTCGGTAATAAAATCCACTTAACACCTGATGATATGTCTAAAATTTCTAGATCAGCAACACAAGCCCAAGTCACTTGTTACCTGTCAAAAATAATGAGACAGAAAGTGCTGACTCCCTGAGCGCTGAGGGCTGTCTGTTAGAATACTGCAGAATGCTAGCCTGCTACCAAGGTGAGCAGACTCCAGCAGTTACAGGACCAACTCCAGAAGAGTTGGTCACTGTATCTACAATAATGTGCACAACACTGAGGAAGCGCTTGACTCCCTGGCAGTGAGGCACACTACCACAAAGAAAGACAGTGGCCAAGCAGAAAGAAAGAACGTAGGCAGACTGAGCCAAACAAAACCTTGGGCTGCTAATCTCAGAACCATCACAGAACAAAAACTGTACTTGGGTGACAGCCCCCTGCTTACCAAGACTACAACTCAGGGTAGGCAGGAAGTCAGCAAACCAGGGACCAGGCAAGCAAGGAGGAGGAGTTGCCTCTTTTCTAAATCAGCTAGGACAACTGAAGTGACAAGAGTCTGAGCTACATAGTGGGTTATAGGCTAGCTTGGACTACAAACTAAGACTACAGGTAAGATAAGGGTTTTGTGTGTGTGTGTGTGTGTGTGTGTGTGTGTGTGTGTGTGTGTGTGTGTGCCCGAGTGCGCATCCGTCCGTATGTATGTATGTAGTAACTTATTTTGTGAGTTATTTTGAGGGCAGATTTAGGGCATTTTCATACAAGCCAGTTATGGCTGGGATACTGGAAAACACAGAACTCACTATGAACTGTCCTTGATAGCGGTGACAAATGCCAGTATGCTGCAATCTCATTCCAAGGACTGGTAGCTAGCTGGTAAAATGAATAGAATTGGCTCCTGTGCACTCAAAATGGAACACCC